ACATCTATAATAATTTATACTAATGAAAAAAAGGAGAGTTTAAATTCAGAACGCAATAGGTTAAAGAGACAAATCATGACTATCATGACAATCTAGCCCCGGCCAAATAATAGGTTTTTTTTTATTCATTTATTTTTTGAACAAACGATAATATTTACACTAAAGGGGTGGGAGAATGAGCTAAGTCTTACAATGGGCTTGTCATAATAATGTGGTTCAACTTCATGTTTGGTGAGAATCAAACCTAAGATCTCTCACTTACAAGTGAAGAGTAATATCACTAGATCGTAGTACTAAGTGGCGCTGAATAATGAGTTAAAAACACACCCACAAAAAAAAAAAAAAAAAAAAGACTTGTAGACGTGTCAAGTTGTTTACTTGGAAGGGGGTGATGGTTCCTTACCCAACAGGATCCTCTCCTGATCCTCTTACTGAGGATCTTGAGAATACGTGAATCGTGTCTGTTTATCGTACATCATGCGATCAGTTTTTGTCAGATATTATTTGTATTTAATTTTAAATAAATAAATTTAATATAATTTCTGACCAAGATCCCCACAAAGATCCGGCGAAGATCCGGATTCGTTCCTTACAAGTGACAAGCCTAATATTAATCAAACATGTCTACTTCTTCGCCAACGGCCCATCCTTTTTTACAGAAACAGGCCCAAGATTGTCAGCTTGACTCTATACTACTCCACTGTAATCATCAATTTTTACCTTTTTCCACCTCAGTAACTCAGTTAAAAATTCCCAGCTTCTAGACGGTAATACCTAAACCATTCACACGCTACGTTGCTCTCGTCTCTTCTCTCTCTCTCTCTTTCTCTCCTTGGCGGCCTGATATCCTGAAACGCGAGAGCAGCTGAAGCAGATCCGATTCCATCAATGGCGGAGACGCAAGCCGACAAAATCCAAACCCTAGCTGAGGTACCATGCCGATCGTCTTCTCTAGCTCTCCAATCGTTCCAATTTCGTTCATGGAAATGTTCGCTGTTTACTTCGATCTAGATGCTAATTCTTTAAAGGAACGATTTGAAATTTTGCATCAAATTATGGATCTGTGCTCTGGTTTTAATAATCTTTTGCTTCAATGATCTGTTGTGTAATTCTAGAGCTTAATTTTCGGTAGAAAAATGTTAAATTTGTTGTTTTCATTAAGCCGTCAGAATTGCTTGAAAATTTTGATCAACGGTTGCGTACTGCGTGCTTAATTGTGTTTTTAATGCAACTAAATATTGTTATAGACAAGTTTTAGGTTTTGATTTACTCTGTTTGGTGTGCCTCTCAATTTATTTTGAATTTTTTCCAAAGTTGTGTAACACTTTATCGTGTAAGGCAGGTAACCGGGCGGTTTATAAGCATTACAAGTTTGTTGCTTTAGAGGAGCATTTTAGGCCAGTCAATCAATTAGGTAAGATGTAAGCCACACTGCGGTATTAGGCTCTAAAACAAGTAAACGGTTTGTGTCAGAATCCTGGACGGAGTAACATCACCTTGAATCAAACATGCTCATAGAAGAAACTTGACATCGTGTGGAGAAAATAATGTATCGGCAGGTTTAATGCATGTATTTGGTCCCAAAACAAGTATTATTACATCTCATTATAATGTCATGTTAGTCCTGCCACATTAAAGCAAGCCTGAGCTTGGGAAGGCACAAAGTAGGGTAATATTTCTGGTAGTATATTAGTACTAAGAAAACTTGACACTGTGATTGCGGGATACATTAGGCTTGTCTAGGACTCACATGCTTGCAGAATCATAGCGGAGTGTAGTGTCCACTTCCTTTGTACGAAAAATTCTTCCATGAAGTAGGCATGACCTGTTGTGGTGCAGTTGGGCCATGTATTGCTTGTTCCTAACCGAACTAGATATGCTGAAAGTTTTCCCCTTTCCCCGTATCATTCCCCAGGCATGCAACCAACCTAGTTGTATTAAGCTTAATACTACTCCGCAATCTAGTTGTATTACGCTAAGAACTATTGCAGGGCCTGCTATCTGTGCCATATGGCTGTTTTCTGGATAATGATAAAAATCTTCCAGCCTTTGGAGATGTTAGATGCTCGTCCTTTGTTAGTCCTTTCTTTTCAATGGCATAAGATTAGTAATGGCTAAGTGTTTCCCTGTTATACTTTGACATACAGCAATACGCATTGGAGAAAGATGTGGGTGCCAAGCCTGTCGAAGTAAAAGAAGTTGTTTCCGAGAAACCTGAGGAAGCACCTGCTGCTGCTGCAGAAGAAAGCTCTGAAGTTACACCAGCTGTTGAAGTAAGCAGTGAAGCCAGTCCTACTGCTGCTACTGAAGAAGGCACTGAAACCAATCCTACCTCTGAAGCTGCTGCTGAAGAAGCAGTGATAGTACTGAAACTTAGGTGACCAAGAAGTAGTTGAACAGACACCTGAAATTAAGGTTAGTTGCCTATAAAGTTATCAATGATTTCTCTTTGTTCCCTAACATAGTGCATATCGTATCTTATCTTTTATCTTTATATGTTTGATTTGTTCACTGGCATTCTATTTTCTTGTCCAGATTGAGACGGCACCAGCAGATTTCCGTTTCCCAACTACTAACCAGACAAGGCATTGCTTTACCCGATATATAGAGTATCATCGGTATGTTTACAAATACACAGGCACACCACTCCCTTCTGTTATTTGAGCAGCATTTATCACGTACATTCTAGCTTGGTGCTGAAATTTTTGACAATGTTTTCACTGGTCCAATTATTTTCAGGTGCACAGCTGCGAAGGGGGAAGATGCTCCGGAGTGTGACAAATTTGCAAAGTTTTACCGCTCTCTTTGCCCTGGTGAATGGGTATGTAATTTCAGTGCTCTTTCAGGCCCTAAAATTGTAGTGTTTGCCATTATATTGAAAATATGGCCTTCTGCATCCTCAACATGTTGAATCATAGTGTTTTTAATTTAGTTTAGTTAAGTTGCCTTTGCTATTGGAGAAGTTTTCTAATTGGCGATCTTATAGTGTTCTAATTGGTTACAAATCTGGAAGGAGGGAAAAGAAGATATATGGTTGACAAGGCCACAATCAATTGATACCATGTGTAAAATAAAGGAATGCCACACACCTTATTACAATTTGTTGGGCTTATTGTTTTTACTCATGTTGATCTCTGCACATTAAATTTCAGATCTACTCTTTAGCCTTTCATTGCTACCGAAATAGTATTGGTATTTTTGTAATGTGTCTTGTACTAGAAACTGAACCTAATATATAAAATAGATTTCTCAATTGGATCACCTTGCTTTTTTCCTTTTTCGTCTGACTCGCCTTGCTATTTTGTATATATTTGGGAGAGGTTAGAGATTTAAATACTGTTGTGAGATCAGAAAAATATGTGTTGTACAACAAGTTATTAAGCAGTTCTATTATGCTTATAGTTGATTTTGATTGTTTCTACTCTAGTTTACACAAGATACGAAGCAAAATCTTAGAAGAATATCTGTTGAGATGTTTCAACGCTTAAATCATTGCTGATCTTTTTATAGTTTCTTCTCTTCCTTATTTAAGTTTTTCCTGCTGGGAGGAGAGAGAATATGCCACAATCTGTGGCGAGTGTTTGTGAATGTTCTTAGTAATTTTTTTTAAGGGGGTGTGATTTTGTTCGCCCGCACTTCAGGCGCGTGGGCAGCCAGTCTTGCTCAAGATTGGAACTTTGAATATTCCTCATTTGAAGGATTGATAAATCGTATATATTATACTTTCAAGAGTCCTGTTCTAGTGACCAAGAGAGCATTTATGATATTTTCAATATTTGTCAAAATGAATACAGTTCCTTGTTCGGATGAAGTACCCGATCTCGAGTATAGAATAGAACCCTTGCACACGCACTTATAGTTCAAGACATTCGCCAATGTGTGACTTAGTTACTGGTGTGCCCACAAGTGCATTTGTTTATGCTGCTGTTGAGTTTCCTATTGCTTTTACGTGCTATAAGGAATTGTTATTGTTTTTCATTTCAGTTCAGGTTTTCTACTTGGCTGCTGATCTCTCGTAAGTCCGTATTCCTTAGCAGTGCTAAAGTTAACAGTTTTCTTGTTGTACTCTTTGTATGTATATCAGGTTGAGAGATGGAACGAGCAAAGGGAGAACGGAACTTTTCCAGGTCCCCTGTAGACGGTGTTTGCTTAAAAACCAAGCGTTGGTCTGCGCAATGATGTTATATCCAAGTTTTCCTCCAATAGATGAGTTTCTACATTGAGAGTTGAACTCTCTCAGGGAATGCCCTATTTGAAAACAATGATTTAATAAGAAATTTTGGCTTGTTTCAGAATACAGCAAAATGGTAGCCCTTGAAATGATCTTATTGTTCATCACTAAAAGATGGTTTTTCATTTCTCATGACTTTCTGCATTAGCTGTTGTAAAATAGTCGCCGAAACCCGGATGGAAGCTAGGCTACATTTGTTAAGAGCCTTTTGCACCTGCCACACAATAAAGATGCACTGGTCATATTGTTTTTTTCTTTTCCTTCAGTTTTTGTGCAACAATTATTTGAACTTTGGTTCATGACTACTTATTTTTAGTCAAATTTCAAAGTAGTAAATAGTTTATTTCTAAGGATAAAAAAGGTCTGCGGAAATCATCGTGACAATATACGTCATTTTGCGGAAAGCTAACTTTGTTACTGATGCTTAACTTTTTCTTCTAATAATGTTGACAAGTATTGTATATAACAAACTCTACTGAGATAAACTAATTCATTAATATGATAAATACATCACTTGTCAATCTCAGGATACATCGATATTGTACCAAAACGTTATCTCTAAAGTGCTTTAGAATTAAGATGATAAATACATCACTTGTCAATCTCAGGATACATCGATATTGTACCAAAACGTTCTCTCAAAAGTGCTTTAGAATTAAGATTAAAATATTAAAAGTTCGTCTATTTATCCTTCACAAATCCATTTTCGTTTTCATAATCGTGTTTGATTGTTTACGTGCAGATATCGAATAGGAAAATGGAAGAAGTATTTAGAAACACAAACTGCATTTATCAAGTCGATAGAACTCGAAAGAGGTTCAACACAATTACAATTGCAACCAAAGTCTTCAATTCTTGAAAATTACACATTAACCAAAACAAATTATAAACCCTAAAATCTAAGTGCCATTAATCAATCAGATCCAAGCTTGCCCATCGAAAGCCCTTTTACACAGAGCAGCTTCTCTTGTGTTTCTTCATCTCTTAAGCCCTCTCACCGCGGATTCTCCTGGCAAGTTGGATATCCTTCGGCATGATAGTGACGCGCTTGGCATGAATGGCGCACAGGTTAGTGTCCTCAAACAGCCCGACGAGGTACGCCTCGGCAGCCTCCTGCAGTGCCAAGACAGCATGGCTCTGGAAACGCAGGTCAGTCTTGAAGTCCTGCGCAATTTCACGAACCAGCCTCTGGAACGGGAGCTTCCTGATCAGCAGCTCTGTGCTCTTCTGGTACTTGCGGATTTCACTGCGCCATATTCACAAACACATTACAATCACAATCCAGCAACGTAAAATCATACTTACTAAAATACCCAGAATTCAAATTACAAAACAACAACAATCAATTACCAAATGTTATTTGATTTCAGTAATTACCCAGAATCAAAATCACAAATTTTGAGAATTATTTGGGTAGATAAATGGGGGTTCGAATACATACCGAAGAGCAACAGTTCCAGGGCGGTATCTGTGGGGCTTCTTCACGCCGCCCGTGGTAGGGGCTGATTTCCTAGCAGCCTGAGAAAATCCCAAAACAGAATTAACAAATTGAAAGAAAACAAAGCAAATTAAAGGGGGCAAAAATTAGGGTTTGAAGGAGGTATCTACGAACCTTGGTAGCAAGTTGCTTCCTTGGAGCCTTGCCTCCGGTGGACTTACGAGCAGTTTGCTTGGTACGGGCCATCTGCAACCACAAATTAAACCCCAACAATCAAAATCCAATTCGATTTTACAAAATCCCAATCTGAAACGCAGCCCAAGAACCCTAATTCCCAATCGCAGAAGCAATCGCGATAAATTGAATCGAAGAAGATGAAGAACAAAAAGCGAAAAGAAAGATTACCTCTTGGGGGTCGAAAGGGTTTGGATTTGGAAAGAGGAGAGATTTTGTTCTCAGAAAACGAATTCAGAAACGTGGGTGCGAATTGAAAGGTCGTACCTCTCTCTGTGTATATATAGTGCTTGTTCAACAAACCCAACTTGGCGGCGGAATCGCCGACCGCCTTGTTTCGCATTTACTGTTTTGCCCCGCTGCCTATCGGACGGTCATTGCGTTCGCTCGCCGTGCTGTTTTACGATCGATAGTGAACGGTTTGGATGTCATGTGCCACGGATCCTGAAACTCAAATAGTCGCTTCCTATTGGTCCTAATCATTCCTTTCCCTCACCCGAGTTTTTTTTTTTTTTTTAGTAAATCGATATTTTTACATTAAGAGAAAGATAAAAATTCAGTTAAACCACATAATGGACAACCTAATTTAGAATTGAATTCATTATTCACGAGATTTGAATCTAAGAGCTATCACCTTCAAGTGAAAAGAAATATACTAGATCGTAATACCAAGTTTAACAAGAAAAATTTTAACTACTTTTCTTATTTACCTTTCTTTTTACTTTTTTTTTTTAAAAAATCTCTTACCAGACTCCGCTTACACATAAAATTTAGAAAGAAATTCTCTAAAAAACAAATTTTAGATTTCCACAATATAACCTTCATTACAACTCTCCAAATGAAAATTAAAACATAAAATTTTGTTGGTTATTTTAATTTTTTTATTTATTATAAAGATTCAAAACTTTTTATTTATTTATTTTGATATTTAAAATGTTCTGTTTCTTCTGGAGAATCATAATAATTGCTTAATAATCCTATTGGTTTGTTTGGAGTGCTTTTAAAATAACTTAAATTGTTTTTAGAAAAAATATTTTTGGGTTCTAAAAGCATTTGAATTGTTTTTGCAAGAAGCACAATTTACGTGTTTGTTGTAGGAAGCACTTCAAATGTTTTTTCAAATTTACTTGCATTCTTACTAAGGATTGATTTTAAAAACATTTTCTCTAAAAACGTTTTTTTATCATTTATAAAGCACTTCCAAATGAGCTCTATATCTTCATCATCATTAATTTTCTTATCCCATAATCCTCGTGTTTTAGGGTTCATTTGAAAGTGCATTTAAACAGATTGAAAACGTTTTTATAGAAAATGTTTTTGGATTCTAAAGCACTTGTATTTTTAAGGATTGGTTCTAAAATTATTTTCATCAAAAGTGTTATCAGTCATTTTTAAAGTATTTCTAAACGAGCTCATAATCTTTGGCCCGTAATCTTTGGGCAATTGATCACTACTTAGCACTCATTGTCTGTCGTCGATGTTCATAGCGGAATAGACATTCTGTGACATTAATGTCATATTTGATTCCAAATCACAAAGCATTCAAATCCAGTCAACAAATAACACTTCAATTAGAAAGATTTTTAATGTCAAATATGCACAGTAGCATTCCACTAGGATGTCGACATCTCATTTGAAGATGCTTTGAAATTTCTTCATTTTTGTTTCTTTGGTTATTTTTTACTTTCTTTCTTTTGTTCTGCATGCAAAATGTGAAAAAGTTGTCGATAAATTGGTTTAGAAATAATAAAAATTGGGAATAAATTTAGTCCCTTCATGCTGTCCAAGTACTCTCTTTTTTCACGGTGCACCCATTCCAGCAGGTTTTCGCACGCTCTGCAGTCTGCAGCTGAACGATGGGTTTGGGCGGGACAACCTTGCAAACCCTGAAGCTCGCCACTATTCCTCCAATCTCATTTTCTTCATCTTTCCGCTCCGTTTTCAAACCCTTTTCCCAAACCTTCCTCTGCCACCATAGCCGCAGACAACGATTTCCATTTCCTCCGCTTTTCTTCGTCAGAGGCCTTTCGGCCCCGGCCGCACAGGCAACTGCTACCGCAACCCCTAAAGAAACAAGCCCGGATGAAAAGGGTTCGATCATTTCACAATTCAATTTGTAGTTTTGAATAAATTGGAGCTGAATTTTGTGTTTTTTTTTTTTTTTGGTTGTAAATATTTTGTGTTTTTCTTTGTGGGGAGATGCAGGTGTGAAGCAGCAATGGAAAGCAGCGATAGACTTCAAGTGGATAAGAGACAACAAGGACGCGGTTGCGGCCAACATAAAGAAGAGGAACTCCAATGCCAATTTGGAACTTGTGCTTGAGCTCTACCACAAAATGCTGAGTCTTCAAAAGGTCAGATTTTTAACTTTTGTGATTGATTGATTTGCTGAATCTTTACAAGTGCTGCAGGCAATTCGTATTTTGATTAACTGCTCCGTGGGGTTTATGTCCTGTTGTGCAATTGGCTTTAGAGTTTGGGAATTTGTTGTTTTGAGTTTTGAAAAAGTGTTGTTTTGTTTCTCAGTTTATATAGCTAATTGTTACTCACAGAAAGCAGGAAGTTGAACGGCTTCGTGGGGAAAGGAATGTGGTGGCAAACAAGATGAAAGGAAAGTTGGAGCCATCCGAGCGTCAAAAACTTATAGATGAAGGTATCAGTATGCCCTTCTTTTGTATGTTCATTTTGTTTTCTTGGTGTGCTGATTTCGATTTGAGTTATTTAGAATTATTGGCTTTTGCATTCAGGAAAGAATCTGAAGGAAGGGCTTCTTTCTTTGGAAGAAAACCTGCTTAAACTTACTGATGAGCTTCAGCAGGAAGCACAATGTATACCAAATATGACTCATCCTGATGTCCCGATAGGCGGAGAGGATTTTTCAACCTTAAGAAATATGGTCTCTCTCTCTCTCTCTCTCTCTCTAACACACACACACACACACACACACAAGAGAGGTTTTGTAGTCCATATTCGTTCTGCTTTCTTCCTCATTTTCTATGTCATTTTGTAGGTAGGCAGCCCACGTGAGTTTAGCTTTCCTGTCAAGGATCACCTTCAACTTGGAAAGGAACTGGATCTTTTTGATTTTGATGCAGCTTCAGAGGTACTATCTTTGTCTTATTTGATGTGTTGAAGTGTCTCTAGTATATGGTAAACGAAGAAAATCATGCGACGTAATTCCAGTCTCAACATTTAAATTAGACATTGTGCTGAGTTGGAGATTTTGGGGATCTTTCTGGGATAAATTGGAAGATTTCATAAATCCTCTAGGTCATGCTTAAATCAAATCCAACTAAGCAACAAGGGAAAGGGTTCTTTTCAATGCAACTAAGATTTTACTAATTTATACAGGTCAGTGGCTCAAAGTTTTACTATCTGAAGAATGAAGCAGTACTCCTAGAGATGGCCCTTATTAACTGGACGCTCTTGGAAGTCATGAAAAGGGGCTTCACACCTTTAACAACCCCAGAAATTGTAAGATCTTCTGTTGTTGAAAAATGTGGTTTCCAGCCCCGAGGAGCAAATACCCAGGTTAGTTCAAACATTCTCTTTCTCATAGTCTGCTAGAAATAAAATGTTGTCTTATCTCTGGCTAAATATAAACAGGTGTATTCTATTGAGGATAGTGATCAGTGCCTCATCGGCACAGCAGAGATTCCTGTTGGGGGAATTCATATGGATTCTATACTTGCTGCATCATTGTTACCTTTGAAATATGTGGCAGTTTCCCATTGCTTCCGTACTGAGGCAGGCGCTGCAGGTACAGCATCAAGGTAAATTATCAACAGGCTACATTTCTTTCGTTGTCCTTGTTTCCAGTGACCTCATATTTCCCTTGTGGTTTATACTTCATCACTTTCTTAATCTACTTTAAATTATTAATTAAACGCAAAAACATATCTATTTCTCTGTCAAAAAACAATTTTTTATTAACAGAAAACAAAAGAAATTATAAGAAGCACGAGCAAGTAGTTAAATGCGACAGCGTATGAATACATAAACCAAATTGGTTCACCCATTCTTTGTGAAAAATACTCAAACCACTTGGTTTATGGTCCCATATTATTGTTAATATTCCTATTTTTTCTAAACGGCATCTGCCAAATTGGAAATTTCGATCCCCATGACTGTCCAAATGTGTGCCAACATGATGAATGTCATCATGCTTTAATTATCCAGTCTATCCAACCCAAATGAGGTGGCTTTTGGATAGTAGTCAATGAATATCAAAATGATTTGTGGTGTTATATGCCTTGAACTTTGAAAGCATTTTTTCATGCCCGCTGGTGATAGGGATCCACTGGTTGGCTCTCTTGTAAGCAATGTTTATTTTCTATTCACAAGAATCTGGGAGTGGAATACATGAATGATACACCAATTTTCAATCTAACTTTCTGTAGTTTTGGTTTGTAACTTGTAAGTGACAGATTGAAATCTTAAGTAAGATGCGTTCTGCATGCTATGTGCAGTTCAAAATATGGCATGGCTTATTGTCTCTGTTTTTGTGGACACGCAGAAGCATTCTTATCAATTGTATTAAATTTCTAAGCAGTGGTCCAAAATCAATTTTTTGTTACAATTTCTTTGGTGGCAATATCTCCATATAGTGGAAGGTTATACCCCGTAGGTTTTTGTTTTTCATAGTCTTGTGTGCAAGTAGAGAATATTCTGTAAGACTTGTAGACTTTGTCCATCGTACGATAAATTGTTTTTATTCTGTTCAGGGGTCTGTATCGAGTCCACCAATTCAGCAAGCTGGAGATGTTTATATTATGCCGACCAGAGGATAGTGATTTGTTCCATGAAGAGCTCTTAAGAATTGAAGAAGACCTGTTTTCATCGCTAGGATTACACTACAAGTGAGTACTTCTACACAACCTTATGATTGTTCAGCTGATTTGACTTTTCTATGTTTACGGTAATGTTGAGTTTCTTGTCAGAACTTTGGACATGGCATCTGGGGATTTAGGTGCGCCTGCTTATCATAAATTTGATATTGAAGCATGGATGCCTGGTTTAGCAAGATATGGAGAGGTATTGCAATGATCTCTCCCCTCGAAAGAAAAAAGGAACAAAACTTGTTCTTGGTTTCCTAGGCTAGGCTATAGAACTGCTAGTTCAAAGTTGTTTTTTGAGATAGTAAAGATTTATGTTTTCATTAATGGCGGACAGATATCAAGCGCATCAAACTGTACAGACTATCAAAGTCGTCGTCTTGGGATCAGGTTTCGTTCTACAGAACCAGCGTTAACAAATCCTAAGAAGGGCAAAAGCAGCCTCGCTCCACCAGAGTTTGTTCACACACTGAATGCAACGGCCTGTGCAGTACCACGAATGATCGTATGCATACTTGAGAACAACCAGCAAGAAGATGGCTCGGTCATTATCCCTGAGCCATTGAGGCCCTTTATGGGCGGACTGGAGTCCATACATCCCAAACCTAGGTAGGATGATGTTGTAAATTATATTTGCTCGGAAATTTCTGTGGGATCATTCTTTGGTTATGAGATTTTTCATAGGTGGGAGGGGGGAGTGTAAGCAAAAGCCGACAAATACGGTGGTCATTTCTTAAAGTTTATTTGGAATCCTTTGCATCAAGAGATGATCATTATAGAGTGTTTCAAGCTCTGTTGCAATGAATCACATTGTGTATGTCGTCGTGCAATGCTTTTCTTAGGATTCAAACAAGTCTCTGCACTTTTGGGTGTTCCAGATAGGCGGATTTACCTGGGCGGCAAGGCAACCGAAGCTGCCTCGCTCTAAGATTGTATCTCATGCAGATTAATGAGAGAATTTCCCCGCTGCTACAGGTGAAAAACTTATGAAGAACATCGTGAATTATCGCCTATAGAAACGGTAAAAGAATTTTGTGAAAAATGCAACCTTACAACGACGCAGTTTTGGAGAGAAGCAAAAGGAAAACAAAGATGAAAAAAAAAACGACCATCTGTAGCTTTTGTTTCTTCACCCAAAAACTAAATTACATCAGGCTGAAAGGCTCAAATATTCATATTTGTTTCTCATGACATACAACGACGTTGTCTCTCTCTCTCTCTCTCTCCCTCTCCCTACACCCCCCCCCCCCAAAAAAAAACTTGTTTCCCATAATCTGTTTCTGATACTGTTTCACGGCCGCGTTGGTGTTTCCGAACCCATGGCAAAACGTCCGGATCAGCGGCTAATAGGGTCTCTGGCTATTTGATCAGGACCCGAGAATGCAGACATAGCAGCTAGCTGGCCAAACCAAACATGAATGTGCTAGAATCAATAACCATGGGGTGATTCCCTTGGGCAGAAAAGCTTTCTTTTTGCCGGTGCAGTGTTTAACTTGGTGAACAAGTAAGATCCCAAAATGCAACTGCAGCTGTATCAAATTTCCTTCTTTGCTTTTTCTATCAAATTCAAAGCAGCAGCAAGCCCCTTGTTTTCAGGTCTGCTTATCTCTGAGCTTCATTTGAAAAACTTGCAAAGAAATCCAGAAGCTGTCTGCGTTGCATCAAACCAGCGGCCTCAGCCCCTTGAACAAATGTTCCTGAGCTTCTTATCAATTCCTAAGAAGACATTACAACTTGCAGAAACTCATTGTCAAGTCACTCTAATTTAAGTGAGTCACCAGCAAAACTAGTACCTATTTCAGAATTAACTCGATTTAACTCTTCAGTTCAACAATGTTGACACAACGCGTTGTTTCTTCTCAGATGTATAGAACACAATGCGCTTGTGGTTAACATTTTAGAAACACCAACAAATGTGATTGCTTGATTAAAATGCTAAAAGGAGAAGAAAAAACATTATAAACAAGGGTAACGATAATCTAAACCAAACCAAACTTAAAACAGAAAGTCATGTTTCTCTGGTTCCTAGAGTCCTAAGCATTTGCCACGCTTGAGAAAAATAATCGAAAAAGCTGCGCAGGCCGAGAGGCTAGTAATAATAAACAGTAACGAGGAGAAAGCTCTTACCACGCTAATGGTGGCGCCTACACATTTGAGAATGTCCCTCCTATGAAATCTGCCCTCACTAGCAGCATCAGCTTCAATTTTATTACCTATATAGGCAATGGCAGACAATTTGGTCCTGTATGAAAACAGCACAAAACCAAGAGGACTTTTTGTGATTTAACAGCAACCCATTTCTCGTTTCAGCAGAAACTTACGTGCAACTGAGATGCTAACAGGTTTTAACTTGTGCGTATGAAATAGCGTGATTAGTTTGGGATACCACCACCTTGGTCTCCCAGTGCATATTAGTTTATTCATGTCTCAGAAGACGCAGATAAATCATAAACAAAAGAAACTTATAGAAAGAATGGGATATTTTGGGGCGTTGAGGCTGGCAGTGGCAAGAGGAAGTGGAAGAAATGGACTGTTGAGACGATGGACACTGCCATTGCCGCCAACCCGCTGATTACTGTGTCTTAGAGAATCACTGTCTTGACTGGCAAGATTCAATAGTCTTTCAGTCTTTCTTCAAGTGGTGGCGGCTGGGGAGGGAGGGAGGGGGAGGGAGAGTGAGAGTAACACCGACTTCTGATATTGTGTTATCCTATCTTTGAGCCCACGGTGATCAATATTGATGAGAACCCCAAGTCTAAAGTAAAGACTAACAATTCCAAACGACAAAGTTTTGTGTCAACCTGTAACTATAACACCGTCAAATGGTTGTAATGTAAACACACATATTATAACATGGGTTAATTGGTAATCCAGCACAAAGAAGCTTCTCCGAATTACGCTAGTACAATTTACATGTTATTTCTTTGATTACTTTTGTTACAAGAGTTTCATACATGGGGTTAAAAGGTCATTTTGATTTAACCATTTGTGGTCTCAATGGCAAAAAACACTGACGTATGCACTCACTCTCTTTCTTTCTCATCATGTGACTCTACATAATCACATAACTACGTTCCAAGACACACCATGACACGTAAATTTGAAAATTTTAAAGCAGCTGATGTGGATTGTGAAGGGCTTCTACTAAACTGAAAAACAAAACAAAATAAAATAAAAAGAATGCAGACAATTAACAGAGATAGAATCAAATCCTCACTTTTACTGCATCGAATAGTTATGAATACACGAAGAGTGCTTGTTCCTTTGGAAACAAACAAATGATCTATTTTCGTATCCCCCAACGTGAGTAATGCTAACTCTAGAAACTCTGGAAAGCACATAAATGGAACGCCCTCGTTCCGGCGATTCATTCCCTGACCTGCGCGCACTTCTTGCAGTTTACTCTTCATCAACACTATAACAACTCACCACCAGCTATCTAAACTTGGGATATACATACACTTCGCTGTCCCTATGCATACAACGGAAACACAAACTTCTAAAGTTACAATAAATTGCAAAGAACGATTGTGTCACCACCCTACCAGTGCAGGAACCTTTTCGTTAGAGGAATCATTTTGTAGTTTTGAAATCTCTGAGACGATTAGCGAGCTCTTTGCATTGGCAATTCTTTTCTACACAAACAATCTGGTAAGGGGTTCTCATAAAAGGGTTCTTCCGAACGATGCTTATCCTTCCCCCTAAGTCCTGGAGCAGGACCTCTTCTTTTCCGCGGGGAGCCTTGCCTGCATAACCACCATCACAGACAGTTTTGAAAAATAAGGATAATAGAAAAATTGTTACTTGTGAATGTTTACAATTCACAATAACCAGATATGATATTGGTTGGGATAAAGTGATTCTCATGGAACTTCAAATCTTTAGGTCAGAAATCACACACCGTTTCCTGTGCATTTGAATAACTCTATTTGATAAGGTTTTGCCTTCCTCAAGTGTTCCCTGCTCAAGTTTGTCAAACAGAGAAACAAGGGCTTTTCTGATAAAACACACACAAGCACAAAACGGATTCAGTTTGCAGCATATCTGGTCAGAGCACGGTGTATGGAGTAGTTCAAAACATATCATTCTAAAAAGAAATCGCCTTGCCTGTCAGGGTTTATTGTTTTCCTGTGTCCAAGAAAGCGACGGTGACCTTCAACTGCCGCCGCCATATGTCCTGGATATGTAGGTATAAATACATCACTTTCAACTGAAACAATGTAGTCAAGCGCAGCCATTTGAGACGCATGATTGGTAAAAGGTTCAAGCTCCTCAACGGATGCCAACGCTTCCTGAAAGTGAAAACCAGTAATGGTTAAACCAGCATTACAGTCCATGTGTCTGGATTTCAGACATACCCAGATATGTCCGAATGACAAAAAATTTCAAGATAAATTGAATAGATATATAGATGTTCCTTTGGACTTCCTCCCGATCATTTTCTTAGTCACATGGGAGACTTGCTGCTCTGATGTCATTTTCTACATTTCTAAAAGAACTTTATCAGTTGTGCATAACAATCCACATGACTCTTAATTAATATCTGTTTTATCCCTGATAATCTGCACTGCATATATCAGCAGGTTCGCCACCTTTGTTCACACCAATAAATCAAAATCTCAACGCCCACTCAAACTTTATGGATAAAATTCTAATTTGAGCATGGCATTAGCTCTTGATGGTTTTAATGATGTACAGCCATAGAGAAATCTTTCTTCGTACCCAGATTTTAAAAGAAACAAAAATGTGTGGCCAGATGACAGTGAAATGCACAAGATAACATTCTGTCTGAGATTATAATTCTAAGTAATTTGGGCCCCCAAGAAGAGTAGTAGTACCATTAGTTCAAAATAGTATCAATGGATATGGCCAATATATTGGATCGACTAATGTGCCGAGATCCCTTGCTACAGCAGTCGTGATACTTTTCTGTCTACATTCTATATAAATTGGAATGTCATATATTCAATTTTAACTTCAAGGTCAGCGACAGACATTCTAAAAGTTTCATCATATTCTATTCAGAGCTCAGTTATTTAACAAAACGGAAAAGATCAATTATAAACATCAATGATACCTTGCTCTTCAGTATGGGATAACGGGATAGTAGATCCGCCATACGAGAATCGCCATATATCTTTCCAGCAGCAATGTAGATAGGTGTGTTTGGTGGGTACCCAAGAGCACTGAGAAAAATTCCAGTCTCCCTTGGCGTTAATGGGCAATACCCTCCGGATCTCTGTTCTATGGAATTAATTTCCTTATTTCTCCAGGTTTTTGTGCTCTCCCTACATGTTCCAAATAAAACAGGCATCACAAAAGCCCAAGGATTAACCAACGTGACAGAATTTCTCCCAACATAAGTTTTTCATACCGGATGATCCTTAGTTCATCAGCTTCATATGGAGTTAAATCCTGCGTGCATCCACTAAAGGCAAGCATGTCCTTCTCAAATCGTAAATGAAGGGCAATAAAAGGACCAAACGACCTCATCCGATCAACTAACAACTACAACATTAATGAAACAAAAAAAATTTGTAAAATAGATGGAATAGGACTAAAAAGTTATAATAGGCATTCCAGAAATCAAACTAGCATGTAGATCTAAGAATTTACTTTTCCCATTGCTTCAATTTGAGGTGTAAAACGCAGAGCTTCATAACAAGCACGACAGCGAAGTTTCTGTATATCTAGAGGTAGGTTGTTATTTGCTAAGCGAGCATCAGCTTTGGAGGCTCGAATAACCTTAGAAAAAGAATAAAGTGTTTAACAAGACGATTTTATTAGTTCAAAAAAGAATATATAAAATACAATGCA